CCCCCCCCCCCCCAACCCCCCCCCCGCCGCCGAATCCAGCTCCTCCACCAACTCCTCCACCGCCGCCGAACCCTCCTCCTCCACCAACACCGCCGCCTCCTCCAAGACCTCCACCAGCGCCTCCGCCAAACCCACCGCCTGCTCCGCCGCCAACCCCTCCACCGGCACCTCCACCGCCGCCGAAACCTCCTCCGGCTCCGCCGCCAAGTCCACCTCCGCCGCCAGCTCCTCCTCCGAAACCGCCTCCTGCACCCCCACCACCACCGAGTCCTCCGCCGCCGCCAAGCCCTCCGCCTCCTCCGAGTCCTCCTCCCCCACCTAGTCCCCCGCCTCCTCCGAGACCTCCTCCTCCTCCGAGTCCCCCGCCTCCGCCGAGTCCTCCGCCTCCACCAAGACCACCTCCGCCGCCTAAACCGCCGCCGCCGCCGAGACCCTTCCTAAAACCCTTCTTGTAGATGCCAGGTTTGTGGAAGAAGGGACGAGGGTGATGAAGGAAGTGTTTGTCGTCGTCAACCTGTGGATCTCCTAAAGCGAAATCCGCGACGAGGGCAGATAAGAACAGGAAAGTTAACGCGAGACGGGCGATTAAGCCCATGATTAGTGTATAATTAGCTGTTTCTCTTCAGTGTTAACTTATGGATAACTTAGGAGCAACTGTATATGAAAGAGAGATGATACCGATGTGTTGGGAAGCTTAGTAGCTGTTGCTTTATATATAGAGGTCGTGACTCGCGAGCGTGCATGGTACTTACGTAGTCGGTAGTCCAACCGGTTACACCTAAACCGGATCAGTTCTTTTTCCTCAAATCCGGTTTGGTTCGGTTTACAATGGAGGTTGTACAGATTCAAATTTCTGAAGCTCAACTGTACATACACACACAAGTACGTACGTACATATATATAGACATAAAAATGCATCTAGTTATGTGTATATAATAAAGGTCGGTTTGTATTCCGGTATACTTAACCGGAAATACTGGAATCGAGTGGACCGGGCGGTTCAACATGTATAAAAGTCGGGATAATAATTGGTTGAGCATAAATGAGGTCCATCTGCCAGTGGACAAATGATTTATTTCCCCCCAACTGCCCCAATCTTGGTCTCATCCAACACAATGTGAATATGTGATGAAATGATGTTATTAACAAGGGAAAG